TCGTACTGGTAGTTTGGGTATGACGTGACTTGAAAACATTGCTAAGCTTGTGGCAAGTCTGTTTCAGTCGATAAATATTCAGCTTAGTTTTGGCTAATTTGGAAGTTTCATTTAACTTTTGAACAGAACGCTCCTTACTGAATCTTAGTCTTCATCAATTGCAGCTAGCTGAAAGGTAGGTCAAGTATTTTCAAAGTACACGTACTGCATGCATACTTAAAAGCAAAAGTACAATGTTTAACTGAAGAAATGTGACCCTTTTACCAGAAGGAATTCTGTCAGTTTTAGATTACAACTTTCAAAGTCTTGGCCCTTTAAGTCCTCATAAAAAACTTATTTAGTTCAATAGAAAATCTAAGCTAGGGAATTTCAAAAGGTAATTCTTGGAGAAAAAACAAACAATTTTAGTTAAGGAAAAGCAAACGTTGTTTCGGAAAATGTTACTTTCTAAGTAACGGATTCAGTTAGGTTTATTTGTACATTGTTTACCTAATCGCATCAGCCCGCGGGCAATTAAGGATAAAATTCACGCGTTTTTTCAATGTTATTTTAAAAAATACTCCAAAAATACTTGCGAAACTGATCCTTAATTGTACGAGGAAAATTGCGATTATTTGCCTGTTACAAATCACAGGGGAAAATGTTGTAAAGACTATTAATTTGAGCGCGGATTATCGAAGAAGCTCGCTCATTCACGCTCATTGCCGCGAAAAGTGACAATCAACTGATATAAGTCAATCAATCAACCAAAAAATGTCATTTCAAAGTACTACTTTAAATTCCAAATCAAAAGTTAGTTCAATTTTAGTGAATAGTTTCTGCTAGCTTAAATAGAGGAACTCAACGGGGTTAAGTAAAAGCCATATAACGGCCAAAAATTTAGCCGTTAGGCGTAAAAATTGACAAATTTTAACCTATAGTCGTAAAAGAAGTTAATCGTAAATATCAATGGAATGGCAACAACCATTTGCTGTGAAATGGCCAAAATTTTAACTGTGAACCGTGAAAGCCATCACCCCATTTAGACCCTGTAAATACAGCTCAAGTTGAATGAAAATAAGTCTCTGTCGCAGTCAGAAATTTGGTGAAAGATTCTCTTGTAACCGCACTTGGACTGCCCGAGACTGGGTTGTGAAAAGCAGCTGAGTAAAATAGTCTAAACAATGTTAATGAAAAGCGATAGTAAATAAAACGCCTGGCGATGGCGATTTTATTGTTAAGAACCAATCATTACCTATCCCCTGAGAGGGTCAGAGACTGTAGGTTGTGTTCTGACCCAGTCCCCATAGGGTTCTCCATTCCCTCCCTTATACTTTGTTGGCGGCGACCGACAGATCCTCGCTCTGTTCTCCGCTGAAAAACATGTAATTCTCCCAAAATCCTCCACATCCTCCTCTTTCAGGCGATAAATAATGACCAGTTCCTTAGAGTAAGCAGTGTTGATGGTGATCTACAGTAAAATGAATATGATTTTTGACCCATGAAACACTGACACAAGGACTAGCGCGCCAACAGGTTATCGGCAGCTTAACTGGTAAAGTTTCCAACCAGAACATTGAAAAATTCCTGGCGGGAAACAGGAATTTGTTTTACCAATCGCGGAAATGAAGGCAGAAAAAGATTCAGGCCTCGACGCATAGCTCCGACGTTTGACTTTATAGCTCAGCTGGAATAGTAGCGCCCAATTAATATATCTGGGAGACCCCAGGAAGGCTTGGGTTTGAATCACGTCGATACCTAAATTTTTTTTCAGTCTTCTTTTCTGCCACAGCTTAAATTGTTGCTTACTTGCGAGAATCATGGCTTTATTTGATTTAATTTTCAATTCAGGTTAAACGAAGTTTAGTTCAGACATTTACCTGGTAAAACGTAGCGCGATAGTACACGGCGACATTAGCAAGAGTGCAAAAAGAAGGGAAGGTCTGGGTCGAGTCGCGTAATGAACGTGCTGATTGCATTACGACATATTTAGTTTTTGCCTTACCCGCGCGGTATTGGGTTAGTTTGCATATTATGGTATATACCATGTGCTCTAGTTTGTTATTGGCGTTTCGTTTTTGTCCCGTTTCCGTCTAGTCTACAAATCTTTTAAATCAAATCGTACGAGTCAGATAACACAGATTACAGATTAAACAGATTACATAGATCAAGTCGAATAATTGTCTACAGAACGCACAGTATAAATATACCATAGTTGGTTCTTGCACAGGGAAAGGATTATTGATGATGTGCCGGATTTTCTTCTGTTATATAGCCGTGGATGTAAACCACTGAGCTAAAGAAAGATTTTAAAATAGGAATTAAGGTATAACTTGTTACGGTATTTGAACTTTGAAAAATAAGTACGTAACGTTACAAAGTCTGAGAGGTAAATAACGTTGAAAGCAGAGGGACTCAATGGGCTGGTGGTGTTTACGGTTAACGGTTAAAATTTTGGGCGTTTTACGGCTAACCGTTAATTCAAAATGACACTTGTTGAAAGGAAAAATTTTACTGGAAAACTGTTCAATTTCGACTAAAGGTCAAAATTTGTAATTTTCTACGCTTAACGGCCAAATTTTTTGATTTAACGATCATCGAATGCAGAGAAAGTGGTTATTCGCATGCATTTTCTTTCTTCTGTGAAAGCTATGGAGGCTGAAACAAGACCCAGTTTTTTCTATAAGATAGGTGATAAATGACCATATGAAATTGTTACTAACCGCTGATATTTGCGGGTTCTTCATAATGATATTAATTTTGAGTACCATGGATTTCCTGTTGGTTCAGGGACGCGTAACTAATGGATTTGTAATGACGTTATAGGCTGTTCAGAATATGAATATCATAATAATGGTTAGCTAGGAAAAAACTATGATTCTATGCCTGTATGCGAAGAAACCATCAAATACAGGGACAAGTTTCTAGGTGAATCTTAACCAAAAATTTTTTCTATAAGGTAGGTAATGAATGATCATATGGAATTCTCACTAACCGCTTATACTTGCAGGTTCTTCATAATGATATTAATTTTGAGTACCATGGTTTTCATGTTGGTTCAGGGACGTGTGGTAAGTGATGAGTAAAAGAGTTTTGCTTGCCTGAACTAAGCTTCAACCAGTTTGATGAAAATTGGAAGTTAAGTCAGTCACACTTCTCATTTGTCTTAATGTAACCCGCATCCATCAAAAATACTTACCTATTTTTAACACCGTTACGCAAGGAAAACATTCAACTCGATACCTAGACCCAAGACTGTAGAGCAAGTTATCAAACAAAGAAAGATCGGCTGCCAGTCTTCAAGGCCGGCGGTTTAGGAGCAGGATGCGCAAGCTCGACCTAAGTAACATCTTA